ACACGTAAGTTAAACAAGACAGTGGTTTCTGAGGAATTGCTTGAATACACACACACACACACAGACACAGACACACATACAGATATAATTAATGGACTTCCGAGTTACGCAGCTCAGCTTGCAAAAAGGTTGGATTAAAAAAAAAAAGAAAGTGGAAACATCGCTCGCACTGAGAGAAAATTCTTTGCCAATATCGTGCAAGATCATCATTGGCGTTTAACACAGTTCGAATTCCTATTTGTGTTCCTAATCGTATTCAATGGAGTATTGTACCGCATTTCACGTAGAAATTCGTACTTTAATCGTTTTTTAAGTGGTTTTAACGTTAAATTACATCCGCGAAAGCATTAGTAGTACAAATTGACGAAAGAGTCGATTAAACTTTCAAACCTCGACCAACACAGCTAAACGGATGGAACATAATAAGATAGAAATTTATTTACTCGTGTATGAATCGTAATAAACGCTATGTACACTCGACACTATTTTCTATATTACGCGCATCATTTATATCGATCTTTTTACAAACCTACGAAAATCCGATGAATTTTTAAACAGTTTGTAACCAACAGACTGCGACGGCAACGTACTCGATCGAACTGAACGAGCACACGACAGGTAAAAATTTTCCAAGGACACTCCCGCCACGGGATAATTCTCCACCGCCGTCGCGGAGTTTACCGATTGGATGTCGTCTGACAACAACAACAACAACAACAACAACAAGGAGAAGGAGGAAAGCTCCGAAGGGGAAATAGAAAAAAAAAAAGGATCTCGTTGTGTCTCGTTTACCCTACGTGAGAACTGGGATCGCTTTTATCCCCTCGTTCCCAATCCCACCTACCCTACAACGCGCGTCTTCTTCTTCTTCTTCTTCTCCTCCTGTTGCTTCTTCCCTTTCTTTCGCGAGCAAGCGAGCAAACGATCGCGGAACGTTTTTCCAAAACGCGGAACGTACGAATTACGGCCTGAATGCGTGCACGAGCCGTTGCGGAGATGACGAAACAGAAACGAGAGACGATTCCATAACGGAATATCGGATAAAGGGAGGGGAAATCTCCGATATGTAAAGCAAAGAATACACGAAACGCGCTCGATACTTCAAATACGTTGGCGGAAATCGGTAACAGTTTCCATTACTCGCGCGATCCCCAGCCATCGGCGGTGAGGGGGAGGGAGAAAAAACGGTCTCTACCGTGCGACTAATCGAGAAACGATTCCGCGGTTCGTCGTACGCGTCACGGCTGTCGTTTCATCTGCTTTCGTTCGTACGTCTCGGCTAATCGATATTTAACGAAGAGAGGACAGAGAACAACGAGGGAGCAGAGGAAGGGAGAGATGGAAAGGAATATTTATCTATTTATTTAATGGACGGATGCGGCGCGCATTTAGTACTTTCGGTGAGAATAAATGAATAGAAGTATAATGTAATGACACGTGTAATTACGAATGTACGCGAGAAGATTCCGTCGAGCTTGTAAATATTTGGATAATTCGCAATTGCGCGCGTGGAGCATGCCAGTTGCAACGGAACGCGAAAGAAAGATCTTCTGAAATGAATTACGAGTGATTGAGTTTTTTTTAAACAGACGAGAGATTCGGTAAGGATTAACACGTCGCGAGAGCTGTCGTCCGCTTCTTGAAAAGGATATTTACGAATACACAGAGCGCGTAAGTTTGAGGAGATTGAAGAAAATTCAACCGACAGGGGAACTAGCGGTAGATATTCAAAAAGCGACGTTGGCGAAACTTATTATAACTTCAAGAGCGATTCTGACAGTAGTTAGAGTACTTTACTTTTGCCTGTCTTTTCGTTTCAAGTTATTCCTTACATATAACGAAGAGGACGTTGCATTCTCATTGTTTAAAAAGCAAGATAATCGTAGCACGTATTACGTGAAATTTTTTTCTTCTTCTTTTTTTCTTTTTTTTTTTTTTTTTTTTTTGACGAGTTAACACTGTCTGACGAGATTCAACCATCACGTTTCAAGCAAGAGTTTACGCTTATGTTTCCAAACTTCGTTGGAGGCTTCGCTCACTCGCGTATCACGCGAGCACGTCTGCATTTTTGAATCAACCCGAAAAATCATAGTTGCGCATTAACTTTCGCACGGCAGGGAATTTTATCGTACCGTACGACGAGTGTTGTTACCAGTTGTTTCACTTTGAAAAATAATTTGTTCTATTGCACTTTCTACCCCCCTCCCCCCCTCTCCCGCTCTCCCGCCTTAGTATAATAGAACGCGTTTAATAGAACTTCATTTATCACCCAGACCGAGAATTTATATAATTGAATTCGGACTTTTAGGGCATTGAAGTGATGTATAAAAAGCGATGGAATTGTAAATTTTGACTCGTTCGAGGCATGTTCGATGACCCAGATAAGAAACCACGCGAGGCACGTAACAACGTTGCAAATATTTCATCGCAAATATAATTCTTATTGGTGTTGAATTGAACGCTGGAAATTGTAAAATTCTGACAATAACACGAAATTCGTACGTTTGTTACGTTTGGCCCGAACGAACATATTTAGTCTATTTCGTATAACGACCAAATTCATGCTCATATTCATATCATTTATTGCGTTAAACAAGCATTGATGTGCAATTTGTAACAAATAATATACAATCATTCGACCAAATTGAGAGGCGAACGAGCCTCTTTGTTCTTGATCCAAGCGCGCCACACGTATACGAACAGCGAAAGTTTCACAAACAAACGGATCTTATCAATAATTAGTGCATAATAAATTTGATGAAACAGAGAGACAAACGAACCGCAATTAGGTTCTACAATGTTGCCATAATTTAAATAGAAATAAATCTGATAAACGATGGTTTGACGACGATGACGATGGATGATTTGACTTTAGAAAATGACTTTAGAAAGAAAAACTTTCGGTATTTGACAACCAGGCATCGATTCGATATATATCTGAAATATAGTTTTAATCCAGTAGTCAAATTACACTCTCGCTACAAGCTAAATTGAAAGAATTGAAAATTGGAAAACTATGCTATTCAGCACAACTGTTAAATTAATAATACTTTATATAGGGTGGCCATTGAAAGACTGAATGATATTAAACGAAAATAACTTTTGTTTTTGTTTTCAATTTTTGATTACTTTATTTGGAAATATAATTAATGGATTTTTTTCAGTATTATGTGTGAAAAACTAAAAAAAAGAAAAAGAAAATAAAAGAGAATGAAAACGAACGAGTTATGACTTTTTCAAATCTTTCGATTTTTCAGTGCAATCGTATATAAGAAGAAGAAAGCATCTTAATGTATTAACAATTGTATCACGTGTAGTTGAAAAAATTTTATTATCTACCAATTATTGAGCAAGAGTTTTGAGCAAGAGTTTTATTAATATTTATCTTGTGAATGTTGCTAGTTTGGGAGTGACACACAGGTAGGAATGCAAATTTCCTTTCCACGAATACGCGCGCAGTTGAACAAGTTCATCGTCTGCAATGAACGCCGAAGCACAGGAAAGGAAAGAAACTAATTCCTTTACTCTGCCAAGCTTGCAAAAAATATAAAAGAAAATTTTCAATTACTTAACAAAGCCGTTTTCCGTGTTGTAATACAATCAGCTTTCGAATCGAAACGTTTTGAAACGTTTCGTCACCGAGAAGAATGAGAAATTTGCCTGGGAAAGTTCACAAGTGAAATTTCACCGTGACGTTGACGACCCAGTTTGCACGGTCAAGAAATAAAAGGTGTCCAGAGATTTTTGAACTAGCAGCTATTTTGCATAATGCCATTCGGCATTAATGACTCGATTCGAGCGGGAACTTGCAGATCTCCGCTAGTCTCGCGAACGAACGAATCTCGGCGGCCAACTCTCGTCACCGTCTCGTTCTCTTGTTCCAGATACGACCTAGAAGCGGACAAGCTTTACTCCATCACGTGGTACAAGGATCACGAGGAATTCTACAGATACGTGCCTAGAGGGGAACCCATGAAGCACAGCTATCGCGTGGAGGGCGTTAAAGTTGACGTGAGTTGAAAGCTCCTCTCTTGTGTGTCCCGCCAGTGTGTCGCGCACGCCACTCTTGTCTCGACTTTCCCATCTGATCTCACCGCGCGCCGCTCTGTCCGCGTTTTCACCACGACTTTTCCTACTTTACGGATTATCTCTCGCGTACTCGGCGCACTCGCGCTTGATCGGGCCACGATTAACCTGCCGCCGTGATCTCGACCGCGCAATGTCTCCTCTCCCTCCTTCTCCTTCGCGCGACTGCGAAAAACGCGTGTGTGCTACACGCGTGGAAAAGGAAGGAGGGAAAGGAGCAGGTTATTCCACGTTCGAAGAGCTAACAAAGCGAACGACATCGACAGAAATTCCATTTACGAGCGACTGGGAAAGGTACAGAGTGAAAGAGCGAGCAGTTACTCGACTCTTTTATCTCGCGTATCCAACTCCAATATCCACCGTATATCTATATCTATCTATATACATATACACACAATATACACGTATGTAGGCTTCTTTATACGAAATGCGCTGAAACACGCGCAATTACCTTTTGCGAATATGCGTCGGCAGATCGATCTAAGGTAAACATTCCCTGTAAATGATTTTTTTTTTTTTTTTTTTTTGGAGAGTGTTTTTTTTTTCTTTTTTTTTTCTATCGATGGGAGAAAGGAATACGGGTTGGAGACATAAATCAATGTTAGCCCGACGCGACGTTTTTTGATTTAATCAATTTGTTTTTAAATATGGATTACATAACAGTTACGACAGCTGCTGGCTTTCATGTAAAATGTAACGAGCGCAGTTTTGGATATTGCAAGTACTCCGAGTGAATATTCCACGAGGAGATATCAATTCTATTAAATCAAATTGATCTAGATCTAAGTTTTCGGCTATTTTGATTCCCCGTGTATTTCTGAACATGTGACATCTTTTGCGACATTTCACGTTGTCACAAATTTAGGTTGAACATACGCGTGAAAATTGTACAAATTCATTACGTTCGATACTGTAGGAAATGAGAATTAGATCAGCGCAGACGCGTTAACAGTTTAAGTACCGCGATAGTCATCGGCGGGCAATAGTAAATTCTTTTGCCGCAGATCGCTTATGATCCCCCCCCCC